TGTATTTTTGAGTCTCTGCTGTCATTCCATTATGTTCATGAGTTGCTGTAGCACTTCAGCCTTGGTTTCTCTGAGCTTAAGCCCTGCAGAAAGACCAAGATGCCAGCTTCTAAACCAAAAGTGTGATTTAACCTCTAACAACAAGGGAATCTGTAAAGAGGAGAAGCTAACACACAGTTAGTGGACACTTTCATCTACACTTGGACTAATAGCCACTCAGACAACAGCCCTGCTTTCCTCCTCATAATAAGCTTACTGTACAACCAGCTAGCCTACAACACCCACACATACCCTGCCATGGCCCAACAGACATTGACACACAGACCTTGCCCCTTAGTGAGTTCACTGCACAGTTGCCTGGCCTACAGTGCCTGAACAGCTGCCAACCAGATGGCAGCTTGCCCACTAAAAAAAATCTGCCATGCAGCTATCAGTTCATAGTGCCTGCTTGTACCCACTGTGTGCAAACAATGAGCCAGGTGATGGTCCTACCACCAGAAAAACTGCAGTGTTACCACAGTCACAGATACCTGCAGTCTAGGCCAATGATGTAACCACAGACATTGCTGACAAGGATTATAACTGAAGAAGCTGCATAGGAGTCACTCTACTGTTTCTATCCAGAATCAAAGCTAGTATACAGTATCCAGCCCAAACACTAGCACCATCCATAAGAAAAAGTGTATCTGAAAAGAGTATATAAAATTAGAAAAGGTGACTGTTGTACAAGATGTACCGATATCAACATAGGGATAAAAAAGGAAGAAACACAAAAGTTCAGATAAAACAAATTCCTGAGAAAGAATAGGAACATAGTAATTCTCCAGTAGCAGACTTTAATAAAGAGAATTTACAAAATACCTTTTAAAAAAGTCAAAATAATAATAAAGAAGCAGAGTGAGATTATAGAAAATACAAACTATTCTGTGAAAGCAGAGAAACAATTCAGGGTCTAAATGAGAAATTCAACAGAGACTTTAAAAAAGAACCAAACAAAAATTTTATAGCTAAAGAATTCAATGAGTAGAAAAAAATACCATTGAAAGCTACAAGAGATTAAATGAAGCAGAGGAAGGAATTTATTAAACTGGAATGCAGGTTCTTTGAATTGACCCTGTCAGAGTACAATGAGAAAATTATAAAAAGAGTGAAAAAGCTAATGGGACATCAGATGAACTAATATTCACATTGTGGGACTTCCAGAGGGAAAAGACATGGAGGAAGGTATGCAAAGCATATTTAAAGAAATAATACCTGAAAAGTTTTCAAGTCTTCAGAGAACTATAGTCGTTTAGATCCATGAAATTTAGAGAACCCCAATTAGACTCGATCCAAAGAGGTCCTCTCCAAGGCACATTATAATCACATGGTCAGAAGTCAAAGAGAATTCCAAAACAGCAAGAGGATATCATTAAGTCACATATAAAGGGTCTTTAGTAGATTACCAGCAGATTTCTCAGCAAAAACCTTGCAAGATAGGAAACAATGTTTAAAATGCTGAAAGAAAAAATTTGTTGACAAATTTCAAAAATAAAGCAAAAATAAAATTCATTCTCAAACAAGAAAAACAGAAGAATTGATCATTATGAGACCAGCCTTACAGGAAACATTTAAGGGAGTCCTACATCCAGACATGAAATAAAGATGCCTACCTTTTTAAAATCATGTGAAAATATAAAATTCATTGGTAGTATGTTTACACAAATCAGAAAAAGAGCAATCATACTTTCTTAATATATAATACCACTAAAGCACAAAGATTAACAATAAGAGAGGAAAAAAGAACAAAAAATTATATAAATCAATGAGAACATAAAATGACAGGAGTAAGTACTTTCCTGTTAATAATAACCTTGAATGTAAATAGATTTAATTCCCCAATCAGAAGATATGAACTTACATAGTGATTTTTTAAATGATGACCTAAATATATACTGCCTACAAGAAACCAACCTCACCTGTAAAGCAATACAGAATGAAAGTGTAAGGATAGAAAAGATATTCTATGCAAACATAGTATTATTAAGTAGAAATAGCTATACTTATGTAAAAACAGACTTTATGTCAAAAGCTAGAAAAAGAGACACAGAGGTCATCTTATGACAAAAGGATTAATTAAGAAGATATAATAATCATAAATATATATCCAGTGTGCAGGCAGACAAGAAGAGCCAGCTTTCCTCCTCCTCCCAGCTCCATAAGCAACTGGCTGATTCTGAGAAACACAGGCTGTGATCATAACTAATGAGTTAAAATACAACTTAATGCTTATAGTGTTTAGTGTTTCTCTGTCTTTGCAGGCCTAAAAGCCTGTAGGCTGATCATCTGTTCAAAGGATAACAATAAGCAATGTAGCATCTATGGGAGATCTCCTTCTGAAAATGACAGCCATTGTTAATTCCCTATTATCATGTTTTGAAGTCCTATATCATTTTCATTGCTTTGTTTGGTTGGATTTTATTCTGTTTTGTCTTGTTTGATTTTATTATATCTGATGGCATGGACATCTGGGGCTGGTTGATTTACCTCAGTGGCATAAGCGCCTGCCTTGCAAGCAGGTAGTTGTGAGTTCGATCCCCGGTACCGATAAAAAGGAAAAAGACAAAAAAAAAAAAAAAAAAAAAGATCAAAGATAATGAGATATATTATAGTAGCCATTTTGATTTACTATTATCTTGTTTTGAAGTCCTTTTTTGCATTCACTGTTTTGTTTTTATTGGTTCTATTCTGTTTCTGTTTTGTTTGATTTTACTATGTCTGAATGTATGGGCGACTATTTTGATGACAACAAGAAGCGTTATGGATATATATATATATCCACCTAATACTAGACCCAAATATATAAAGTAAAATATTATAAGACCTAAAGGAAGATATAGTCTTCAATACAGTAATATTTTAGGGCTTCAAACTCCCACTTCTATTAATGGGAAGATTATTCGAACATAAAATCCAACAAAAAAGTCAGATTAAACTGATACCAGTAGACCTAACTTGTTAGCAAAACATTTCATCCAACATCTACAGAAATACATGTTTTTCTTATCAGCACATGGAAATTCTCTAGGACAGATCACGTGTTAGACCACAAAGCCTCAGTAATTTTTTTAAAGAATAAACCATATTTTATTTCTTCTCTGGGCTCATGGAATAAAGTTAAAAATCAACAAGATGAAGAAAGGTGGAAATTATACCCATACAGAATTTGAAACTAAACAACATTCTCCAGGATGACAAATGGATCAATGAAGAAATTATTAGGGAAATTTAAAAATGTCTTGAAAAAAATGAAAACAGGAGTGTAGTATACCAAATCTATGGATTATGGCAAAACAGACTAAGAGAGTAGTTTATAGATAAATACCTATAAAAAATTTCAAATGCACAACCTAACAATGTAATTCAAGAAACTAGAAAAGCAGAGAGAAACCAAATCTAAATATAGAATAGAAGAAATAATAAAAATTATAGCAAAGAAAAAAGTTCACTTTCTGTAAAGATTAAAACAAGCTAGCTAAGAAAAAAAGATATCTCAAAAAATCAAAAACAAAAAGGAGACATTGTAACCAATCTGCAATTATATGAAGGATCATTATGACTTTTATAAGCCACTATTCACCAACAAATTGGAAAACCTAGAAGAAATGGATAAATTGCTGAATGCATATAACCTGCCAAAATTGAACTACGATGAAATAGAAAATTTGAATAGGCCAGGATCAAGTATAACAAGGTTGAAGCATAATTAAAGTCCTCCATCAAAGAGAAACTAAGGACAAGGTACTGTGGCTTCCCAAACTCTGCAAAACATTTAAAGAACTAATACCAATTACTTTCAAGTTACTGCAAAAAAATTAATAGAGAAGGAATTCTTCCAAATTCATTCCATGATTTTTGAATACAAAAAACAGACAAGGACACTATTCATAAATTACAGATCAATATCCCTGATATACATAGATGCAATGCAAATGATTCTATAGAAGTACAATAAAATGAGGAACATGAGGATTGGGGAAATATGGAAGTAGTTTAGAATAAAGGACAATTAAATAGGTACAGATACGCGGTTGCATGGAAGGAATAACATTCTATAGGTACCAGTAGGCAGCTATGGTTGGTGATATTCTATATTCTGAAATAGCTAGTAGAGAATATTCTAAATGTCCCCAATGAAAAGAAACAATAAGTATTTAGGATTCAATCTGATGATTATTCACATGTATTCAGAGGTCACATTTCACTACATAAGTTTATAGAATTAGAAGTCAGTTAAAGTTATTTTAAATTTTTTAAGAATTAGGTTCTAGATTCTGGTTTATTATAAATAGTTTTCACCTGTATATGTATCTGCAAAATACATTCAGAAGCAGAAGAAAATGCAGAACACTGTATGCAGACTGTCCAGGGTACTTCCAAGATATCTAGCCCATGCCCACCAAATACCATAATGCTACCTCATTATGTGACATTTTTTTTAAATGCACCGTATTATAAAAATGGATATGGCAGTACTATATCCATTGAAATCCATTGCATGGTGGCATCAAGAAAAGGTTTAAACTGAATTTTTTAAAACTTCTAAAGTTATACAAGTAATAGTAAATGCTCAAAAATTATTTGTTGAATAAATTAAAGCTGATTTTTCCTTCCTATCGCTATTCATTTCTTTCGGAATTGTTGCAATATAATTTAAACTCTTCCTTCTATATGTTGAAGTAGAATTCTGTGTCAGTGAGTCAGTATGCAAGGTTAAGACCACCAGAAGGCTGCCTAGTATCTTAGGACGACAGATGTTTGATTCAAGGTTCCATGAACCATTGTATCTTGGTCTCCAGAATATTTAGTCAAATTATTTGCATGAGATGGCACGATGTTTATACACTGTACAATCTGTGAAGTTAAATTCATACTGTTCACTGGTCTGTTTTCCTTTTAATTGTGTGGATTTCTGTATATTAGTAATTATCAACCTATTCTTTCTGGTTGTTTTTCAATAGGATATTGAAGAGACAATGAACACTGCTTTGAATGAACTCCGAGAACTGGAGAGACAGAGTACAGCAAAGCATGCACCTGACGTGGTGCTGGATACCTTGGAACAAGTGAAAAACTCTCCTACCCCTGCCACTTCCACAGAATCTCTCAGCCCTTTGCACAGTGTTGCCCTCAGGAGCTCAGAGCCTCAGATTCGACGCAGCACTAGCTCCTCCAGTGACACAATGAGTACTTTCAAGCCTATGGTGGCGCCCAGAATGGGCGTGCAGCTGAAGCCCCCAGCCCTTAGGCCGAAACCTGCTGTTCTTCCAAAAACAAACCCTACTGTAGGACCCGCCCCACCTTCCCAGGGTCCAGCAGACAAGTCTTGCACTATGTAAATACCAGCTGAGCAAGATCATAAGGGGAAGTGATTTTAAAAAGAAAACGGATTAGTGACAAAAGTCAATGATCCATAACTTTCCTTAGTTTTGTGCTTATAACTGGAGATCTTTTGGCTTTTCTATGTTGTCGAATGTAATGTCTAAGACTAGCTAAATTAACACGGGCATTTGTATTTTGTAATTTTTCTAAATAACTGGACATATGTCATTTTAAAGACAATAGAAACACTTAGACTTACTTGAAAATCCAATGCTGCACCACTTGTAATGAAGGCAACACTGCTCACCGTATTGCACAGTGCTTCAGATTTAGTGTAGCCCAGATGAGTCAGAAATATCTTGATTGGAAAGCAGGAGAATCTGATTCCCATGTCTTATTGGAGTATAACCAGTGTTGGAGTGGCACTTGGGGTAATCAAAAGGTGATCAGGGCATTATTGGGAGCTGACTGTAGGCCCTGGTGATTCCATCCAGAGTGAGAGTCCCAACTTCGGCTAATGACTTGCATTTATCACAGTGGGACCTTCTTCTCATGAACTCAGTGGACTGAATGATTGCCTCTTCTATAACAGTCATTCCCTCGGTCCAGCTTAGAACCCCAGTGTTGCTTGAGTTGAACTAAAAGAAGAGAGAGACATCATCTCCAAAGTTCCTGATGTTACTCCATGCATAACTGTAATCAGGCCCTGGAGGATTCCACGTCCACTCCTGCATTTACAAAGGACTCGGACAGTCTATAAGGACTTTCTGGGGCCAGGGATATAGCTCAGCAGCACAGTACCTGCCTAGCAAGTGCAAGGTTCTAAGTTCGTTCAATTCCATTACCGAAAAAAGACTGGTTGCACCACAAACTCCTGCAAAGATCCGTTGCTCTAACTACCTAGAAAATACTTCCATTTCCCAAAAATCGCTATTTTCCTCTGTAGGAAGGATACAAGACATGAATCCTTGATCCAGTCAGTATTCTTTGACTAAATTACCATAGTTCCATTGAATATACCGCAAAGGTCTGATGATCCTAAATTTGAAATCCCAGTTCTCTCCATTTCTCCTTTTGTTCCAGCCCTCAGCTGGCTATGGTACTTGAGTAAAAGCCATAATGGACCATCATAGGGAAGATCACCTCGTGGTTCCAAGATGACTTTCTTCCAGTTGTGTACCTTGGAACCATGACTTTTCCTTTATATTTTTACTTTTTGGCATGTGGTCTCTATATAACTTACATAGTTAACCAAGCTCAATTACAGAGCTTCTTTCTCTGTTATCCAGGCACACAGTTTTTCTTTAGCTCATGTTTTTACTGTGTTTCTCTGCTATCTTGAAAAAAAGTTGTTTTTATTTGGGGCAGCACTGGGTAGTATTGGGGATTCTAAGCACATATTCTACCACTGAGCTATATCCCTAGTCCCCCTAAAATTGTTTTGAATGCATTTGCTTTTAGTAAGGTACAAATAACCACCATCCTACCAGCAGCAGTTGATAACTGTAAACTTTTTATCTATGCTGTCATTGAACTTCCAGATGAAGGAATATGGATTCCTCCCAGCAAATTCCTTCGTCTCACTGTTGACCATCTGTATTTAGTTTCAAACACAGCCAGTTGCAGGCCCACCTAAGAACTGCATGGGATGGACTTCAGTTCATCAACCCATCGGTAAATGCACCATGCAGAAACAATTAAAATCTGTACTAAAACCAAGATCATTACTTTTATCTTTGCCTCAGTTTCCCAGCCTCATCACTGTTCTGCAGAATGAGACTGAATTAGTGAACTCTTGCCTTTCAAAGTGATGCTTGCTTGTGACTTAATTTCATAAGTGGACTGAATAATGGTGTGTCCCCACAACTTCCCAGGCCACAGATGTATTTCCAGATATGGTAAAATTTCAAACCTCTTAATTTTCAGAAATATTCTTTTTGGCCATTTTCAAAAAGAGGCCTAAGTCAGCATCTGCCCAATCCCTGGCCATTTCTTTTGAGTTCAGTGGTCATTTTGACCTTTTGACACCACGGAGACCCAGCAGAACTGAACTTTGATTTAACAGAAACCCTTGTAAATTGTCCCCCAAATTCTCTAGGAAGATTAAATTTTCCTGATCTCCCAGTTCTTTAAAATAATAAGAGTTCTTAAAACCATTTTCCTTCTTTGGGGGAAAAGTAAGATGTTAAGAGGCCAGAGGAAAGGCAGAGGTGTTTTGGATCTATTTTTAAGTGCTCTTTAAAAAGCTTTCACTTTCACTCTTACTCTTTGAAGCTGTTCCTTCAGATATCTGCCTGGTAATCCTCCCCAGGGTGTCTGGTGTTTGGTGTATCCACCTATTCAGATCACTGATTGCCTTTCTAATGCCCAAGACTCTGCTGCCTTGGATGATGGAGGACATGCTGCTTTTGACCTTCAGAGACTGTACTTTCTTTCAGGAAACAGCTGCTAATATTTCACCCTCACTCCCGTAGCTTACTGTCCATTTTTTTTCCCTATAGTCCTATGTCGTCTCCTCCAGATTTTCCCCCATCAACTCCAAGCGAAGGGGTGACCTCTGATTAAGGACTTGGTAAGGGCTTACCTATCCTTACTTTATTTAGTAAAAATATTCAGATTCCAGGACTAAGACCAGGTAGCCACTTCATGAAGGATCCAAGGTAGCATCCATGAAAGCTCATGAACAACTCCAGCAGCTGAGAAGGTTCACCTGGTGGTGCACAGCCTGTAGGGCCACAGGCTCAGCACCTGGAGGGCAGGCAGAAGAAAGAGCTCAACAGTCTTGGAACATTATGTCCTCATTTCAAGGATTTTAGCAGTTTTCATGTGAAGTTTAAGGAGAATCTCATTGAGAAGATGGGTAAATTATGGTTCTACAAGGATTATCTGACTCCACCTACACGAGAATGCATATTCATAGCAGATATAATTGTATGTTCATGTCCCATAGAACACACTAGCATAGATTTATCAAGCAGCCTTTTGGCTTGTGTTGGGGGTTTGGAGAGTGAGTTGTTAGGATAGAAAAGAAAAGTTCCTAGTTTACATTTTCCGATGAATGTTTTGAAAACTATTTCAGTCTGTTGAGTGGACTGTGTAGAGCTCCATGTTCATGTTCAATATCAACACCATTGTTCAACAGTTACGTATGTCCTCACACAAGGTAATCTGAGTTTGGTGCCCCTTAAGCCATCTGTAGAATAAGCTACCGCAGGGTTCCACTTAATGTACCACCGTGGTCAGATCAAGGGTAAAAAAAAAAGCTCCAAGGATCAAATTATGTCCTTTAATAGTTTTCTGTGATTGTACTTTTGCCATTCCCAAAATGTGTTTACAATTTTTTTCAAATAAAAACGGGATGAGTTGCTAGTAGTATCCTCAGCATTTAGAAATACCATCTCTGAAGTCAGTAGTCGAAGAAACTATAATCTGACAATTATGCCTCTGAAATTCTGAATTATACTATCTCTGGGCCTGTAAAGGAGGTCAGAAGATTTCAAATTTGGGTCAGTACTCATTTACTCCTGACCACAGCTGGTTCAGGCCATGAATAGGAAGTGCACGTGGGGCTCAGTCTTGCTGTCAGTTATCCACCACAGACGCCCTGAGACACAGGGCAGCTTGGGCCTGAGGGCTCTATTTGTGTACAGGGCCTTACTCCAGACTACCCCTGAGTAAGCACTCAGCCTCCAGCCGGGCTGGAGCACCAGGCTTTATTCAGGGTGACTTGGAAACAGATGGATAAATTAGCTAGAATGTAAGCTTTCACTTACCCTAGTATACTTTCTTTAAAAAAAAAAAAAATAGTCTACATGGTATAATCCGGATGGATACCTGTATCTTTAAATTACGTAGGGAATTTTGTATGTTTAAATAATTGTACTGGGTTCCATAATGCTTATCTTAGAAACTGTTTAGTAAAAGAAAAATATATAAACTGTGCATTTGTGAATGCCTCCGTTAGAGCATTCATGCAAGTTCAATGTGTAGTGTGATGGTTATTATAGATATTTAAAGTATAGTAAGTGGCTGTGTAACAGGAAAGACTATTTTACCTGCGTACTTAAGGTAACTCCTGCCCACGTAATTAAATCAGTATTGTCCTTTCCTGTCAGTTTGATTATTTGCAGTACTGGTAGTTTCCTGCTTGTGACTGTTACCTAATTGTGTCAATGTACATCTGTAGTATGTACATGTGAAAGTGCCTTTCTATTTTAGAGGAGTTTAGCCTTGCTCTTGTACCGTTGCCCCCTTCTATGCCCCGCCTTCCTCCTCCAAGTTCTTGCTGCCTACCTAAGTGTTCTGCAACTTCCTTCACTCTCTCCTGGCATCCTCTCCAGCCCGCGTTCTGTGTCTCAGTGCTCAGTCCTGTCTGCCTCACCTCCCTGGTGATCATCAGACGTGTCCTCGTAGACCGTGGTTGTGCCTTTCTCACCCGGCAGGGACTCTCCCGAGTCCTCCAATCTCAGCCATCTATGCCCACTCACACACCGCTGCCTGCCTCAGTTTCACCCAGGCTGTGTTCTGCCTCTTACCATTACATTCCCTCCCTTCTGAGGTGACAACAACAACAGGGGCTGCTTTTCCAGTTCCGGGAGGAAAACACGTTTTGTTATTCTGTTGTGACAATGCACTTTTCTGTATAGTACTGTACATGTTGGCATGTCCCATTACAGGCTTCAGTATACAGTCGGGTTTGTTCTTCATGGTGTATCTTTGTAATAAATAAGATAGTTCACCTTTCTCTGCTTATGATGTGTCCCTCTTTTTTTTCTCATCAGTACTTTCCCCCCATGGGGCTGGGTCACATTAAATAATGAGAATTTAAACTTTATAAAAATGTTACTTGTCTCATTTTTTTTCATGCATCTGAAAGTGAGGCATCATGCACAGACTTTCTGAGAAACTGGTTTTTCTGAGTCATGATTTGGACAGTCTGGATAATAAAGGAAAGGCTCTAGAAGAAAATAGTTCTAAACACACACCAGGTTGAAATTTTTCCTTTAGAAGGGCTTGTTAGCATAATAAAACTTTGATCTGATCCTTTCTTTTATTTGAATAAATTGAAATATAATTCTTAGGTAATTACTCAGTTCAGAATTCTCCAAGTATTAATATTTTTTTTCTTCAAACACAAAGCTAAATCTTGGAGTCAAGCAATACAAAATAGTTTCATAAAACTCATCAGTCAGATTGAATATTGTTGAGATGTGGAGTTTAGCCAATCCTGGGGGTGCATACCTGTATTCCCGGCACTCAGGAGGCTGAGACAGGAGGATCACCATGAGTTTGAGGCCAGCCTGGGCTATATAGTGAGTTCAAGGCCATCCTGAACTAAATGGCAAGAGTCTGCTTCAAAAAATAAGTAAACAAATACAGCCAGAGAAAAATATGGAGTTTTAAAAATGGTATGTAAATCAAAATTAGCTTTTGACTGAAGTATAAAGTACATAAAGAAAAGTACACAAATCATTAGTGTATTGCTTTTCACAAAGTAATACACCAGGTTTGGGGATGTGGCTTAGTGGTACAGTCCAAGCTTAGCTTCCACAAGGCCCAGAGTTTGGTGCCCAGCACCCTCCCAAAAGAAACCACTACTGTATATTCCAGCCAGGTCAAGATAGCATATTATCAGATCCCCAAACTATTGTGTTCCTGCCTTCCCAAAGTTAATCAGTATCCTAAGGAATCACACTAAGGTTTGGCTTTGCCTGTCATATTAACTTTCTATAAATGAGCCCAAATAAGTATAGTTTTTGTGTCTGACTCCTTTGGTCGAAATCTGTGTTTGGGTTGAGGTTATAGCTCAGTGGTAAAGTGCTTGCCAAGCAAGACAAGCCCTAGGTAGGGGGCTGAGGGACATCATTTTTAAACTGTTTCCCCATTTTTATTGACCATACAGAATTCTATCACAAGAATATGCTCAATATTGCACTTTAGTATTTCCTAATTAAAATTTGGGTATAGTATGTAGAAAGCTTTAAACCTGAAGAAATGAATGAAAAGGACAACTCCACCTGTAAATGAAACTATTTTCCCAAAACATGATGGAAGGATTTTGAACTAAACCATTGACTAAAAGTCCTGCCTAAAAACAGGTTGGTTACTTCTATTTCAAAAGGGAAAAAAAGGAAATTAGGAAACATTATCCAATCTGGAAATATTCCCAGATGATACTAAGTAGTATAAGATTTATTTGATGGTATAGTTCTTTTATCCAAATAAGTGGGTTTATTTTCAATGCCCACTTTAAGAGCAGAGAGTTGGATTTAGAGGTTGTCCACTAGAGCAAGGCCCAGATCAGCTGTAGAATCGTTCCAGAAAAGACCTGACTTTCCATCTCATTTCCTTCTATCCTGTAAGCCAGGAGGCTCAGCCAGCCATGGCTCTTTGCATGCACCTGCCTCTGCTCATCCCTCACTATGGGACCAGAGTCCCATCAGATGTATCTGGCTGTCAGTACCCACAGTTCATGTGGCTCCTTCTGGTAAGAACCAAAAGGAGTTTTCTGGACTCTATATTAGGTTCTTTGAACATCTAAGAAGAAAATGTTCCAAATTTGATCTAGGATATTGTCAAAAACATATTAGACAGCCTAAAATTATGGCAAATTCTATTCTGCAAGCCCTCTATCCTCATTGGGATTTTTGGAAAATAAAGACAGTATGCATTTGGAAAATAACAGTGGCTTTTATTCTATGTTTACATGCAGGTTAAAAAAATTGCTTCTATTATAGTAATTATTAAAAAGCCATTGTTAAGGTTAGCTCTTACTGGGACTGGGCGGGATATCAGATGTGTGTGACTGGGGTTAGGGAAGAGAAAGGGAAAGATTGTTTTTTCTGGAGTCTAAAACAACATACTTCATTTAGCATGAATACCTTAAAGACAATAAAGGTATAACCCAAGAGATCTCCAGCTATAGGATATTTACAATCCAATCATGGTGAAAGATAGGTACCCTCTTGTAACCCTCATGTCTATCAGGAGTGCTCCCAGGGTGTCTGGCTTCCTTTCAGCCACTTGGGTATACGGCTGAAGTGGAGACTAAAGGTGAGCTTTTCTCCCGTTTGTGATGCATTATACTATCTTTTGTCCCTCACATATCTACGAAATTCCTTGTATAAAACTCATGTTCGTTTAAAGAAACATGAATGTTCTTGTCTGTCAGCTAAGAGAGAAGAAAACATCAATAGCCTGCAGACATATTCAAAACTGAATAATGATTTGACATTAGGTTAAACATGAAGCTTAAGGTTCTAGACTTTTGATGGGTTGCATTCATTTAAAAAAAACTAATATGGTCAAGGTTTAAAATACAAATTACAGTTTGAATTTGTTCTGTAAACAAAATATTATTACTACATTAGTAATAATAACTAAATATTAGCAGATGCAGTAGGGGAAGTGGAATCAAAATTTTAAATAGGCAAAATCTGTTATCCAGTCCTAATTCAAACTCAATTTGGAGGCTCGAATGAATTATCAATCCATGCTTCAAATTTCCAAACAGAAATAATCCACAAGAATGTTTTTACTGAAATTATCTTCTAATCCTTGCACTACATTTATTTTTAGCATAGTTTAACTCATAGTATTTAATTGTGCATCCTTATTGGGTTTTCCTACTCCACAATAGTGCACATTAGAATTCTCAAACTATGAATTCTTAGTCCTAGGGATCCAACCTGGGGCTTTGAGCATGTCAGGCAAGCATTCCACCACTTAGTTATACCCCTAATCCAGGAAATGTAATTTTGAATAGCTTTATAATATTCTAGCATATGAACAAAATCTAATTTATTTGATTGTTTTCCCATCATTGCATGAATCTATTTGGCTTAGTTTTTTCAACTGGGTTTGTGTAAATAGATCTCTATACATTATTATCTGCATTTGGGATTGATTCCTTAGGTTTGACTCCCAAAAAGTGAAAACACTAGATCAGAGAGTATAAGCATCTCTAAGTTTCATGATACATATTACAAACCTGTTTTCCAGGAAGAATGAACAAATTTATGCCCTGCCTGCTACACATAACAGTACACAAGTCTGAAACATTTTTTGTCAATAGAATAGCAGAATGATAGGCAGTCTGTATTAACGTACACACCCAGATTTCTAGGATGCGAAACCCAGTTTTATATACGTTGATGTCCTACACCCCAGATATCTTCCTATCATCTCAGTAGAACATCAGCAAATAGGGAGCTTTCTCAGCAAACTCAAACCACCCAAAAACTGAATCCATTTTCTTTCTTTCCGAAACATTCTGCACCCTCCACACCCAAAATGGTGGCTCTTTTTATTTCCACATTAACCTAGTTCCATGCTTTACTTCCTTTTGCCTCAGTGACCTAGATTAAGGTCCTGGGCATATTGTCTCCCCTTTGCAATGATTTTCTAGACTCTTGCTAATCATCTTTTAAAAAAAAAAAAAAACTAACAATCATTGGAAACATAGCACATACTACACATTATTTTAAATGTCATAAAATAATAGCTAACATATATTAAGGACCAGACTCTACTTCAAATGTAGATTAATTTGATCCTCCCATGAAAGTCAAGAGTGACAGCTAATATCATTCTTGTAAAGGAGAAGAGCCACAGAGAGGTTAAGAACTTGCCATGGCCAAAGAGCTAATTAGTGGTGGAGCCGGTATTCAATTCCCAGCCTCCCAGAGGCTCTTATAAGCACTGTATGTTTGATCCTGTAAAGTACTTATGTCATTCCTCTGCTCAAAAGCCGCACATGGCCCCTCCTTGCTGCAGGATCTGCAGTGTCTCTCATTTGTCTTTGTAGCCTCAAACCTAGCACACTACGAACTAAGCAGCCAATCAATGGAATTAAAATAAAGTTAAGATGTACCATCTCCGGCATTTCCCTGCCTTTTCAGCTGCCTGCTCATCTCTTCTTTCTGCAGCCTCTAGTCTCAGTCATACCAGGCGACGTTTCCCTTATAGCCTGCTGGGCCGCATGCCTCCTCTGCATATCCACTCTTACCCTACACAGTATCTGCCTATTGATGTAACAGTCATCTTTCCAAACTCAACTAAATGTTACATCCTCCATGAAGTGGTCTCCAACTTGTGTTAACTGCTCCCTCTTCTTTGCTTTTGATGCACTTCACTTCGATTCAATCAGGCCCTTTTCTGAAGAGAAAGTTGTGAACAAAATGCGTCAGATTCCTGGTCTCATGAAGTGTCCATCCTAGTTAGATAAAAAGCACTAAACAAGCCAACAACTAAATAAGCAAGATCCTTTCAGGCACTGATAACAGCTATAAAAAGCAAAAGTGAAATAGAACAGGAGATAAAATTGAGTGTCTGGGAAGGGGACAGCCTGAACATCACCTCTAAGTGGCAGGATCTGAGCTAAGATCTGAACGATGAGAAGAAAACAGCTATGTGAAATTAAAGAGAAAGACTCAGCAAATCGGGGAGAATTGTACATATAGAGTGCCATGCTTAGGGTGGTGAAGGAGTCGAAATGTCACTGTGACTTGAACACTATAGGTAACAGTTGCTGAGAGTAAAACTGAAGGTTGGAGAGTGGACAGAGCCCCCAAAAGGTTTGATGGCCACAATAAGGTCCTAAGTGCAAGGAAAGCCACTAGGAAGTTCAAAGCAAGAATGTGACATGGTCTATGTTTTTTAAAGATCATTGCATAAAACCAGAATAAGATGTCACCTTATATCCATTATGATGAACAAAATACTAATAATAATATTGATGATGATAATGTTTT